CCCTGGAACCCCTGGAACCCCTGGAACTCCTGGATCTCCTGGATCTTCCGGTACCCCGGGGTCATCTGGAACCCCAAGCACTCCTGGTACTCCTGGCACTCCTGGCACACCTGAATCGCCTGGATTACCTGGTAGTCCTGGCACATCAGAAACCCCTGTCACTGGTAGTACACCTGACACCCCTGAGACCCCTAGCAATCCGTCAGGTATTTTAATTACCGTCAATAATAGGGTAAACTATATGTCACTGAAGTTAAAATCCCTGAGACCCCTGGCAATCCGTCAGGTATTTTAATTACCGTCAATAATAGGGTAAACTATATGTCACTGAAGTTAAAAGTTCCACATCTTTTCTAGGTACACCCGGTACAGGTGCTCCCGGAACATGTACAGAAGAAGGATTCTTCCCGGATCCTCGGAACTGTCGCAAATTTTATCGTTGCGTTGGCAGCGATTCTACGTTCATCAAATACGATTTCGAGTGTGGTACCGGCACTGTGTGGGACACGACGATTCAGAGTTGTAATCATGAAGCAGCGGTTCCTAATTGCAAAGGTGGATCGAATTCACCTGGTTCTTCAAGCGCTACAAATCCATCCGGTAATGAAGTCCCTGGAACGACTAGTTGGCCAGGTACATCTCAGACTGAAACAAGTGCAACGTCATCTGCACCGTCATCTAGTAGTCAAGCACCTTCGCCATCGACAGCTAGTCCAACTACTGTCCCACCATCGAGTAGCGTAGCGACACCCGCATCTACTGTTTCTCCATCAACCGTCACCTCGTCGAGTAGCCCAACAGCTCCCTCGTCAACTAGTCCAGCATCAAGTCCTTCGACAATAAGCTCAACGGAACCAGCCACATCTTCGTCCACCGTGCAATCCAGCACTAGCACAGCTACCACCATCCTTTCCGATCCTACTGAATCCTCATTACCCGAAAGCACCAGTGCATCTAACGCAGAAACAACTGTAACAACGAAACCATCGCCCGGATCATCGCAGTGCATAGAAGACGGATTCTTCCCTGATCCCCAGAATTGTCGTAAATTCTATCGCTGCGTTGGCAGCGATTCATCGTTCGTCAAGTACGAATTCGAATGCGGCGCTGGAACCGCCTGGGATTCAAGTATTCAGAGCTGCAATCACGAGTCCGCTGTTCCAAGTTGTCGAGGTGGATCCACCACACCTGGATCGACGGTGTCGAACGATCCATCCTCTAACGAAGTCGACGGAACTATTAGTCAACCAGCTACATCTGAAACATCGTCATCTGCATCGTCGTCGAGCACTCCGGCGCCATCGTCAAGCGCTCCAATAGTCTCCCCAACAAGTACCGCGTCCAGTAGTTCTCCATCAACTATCGCGTCGTCTACTAACCCAGACCTAACCACACCGCCAAACAGTAGTTCTACGGTATCCTCATCAGCAGCACCATCTTCTTCGTCTGCAACCGAAGTAGGCACAAGCACCACTCAATCCACAGGTTTAGGTGTTACAGAATCTGTCTCGTACTTGCCTCCTACAAAACCAACCGGTACAACGTCTGTTACGCAACCGTCTTCATCACCGGGCGCGTCAGATTGCTCGGAGGAAGGTTTCTTCCCCAATCGAAACGACTGCACCAAGTTTTACCGGTGCGTGCGTAGCGAAAATGGATTCGAAAGATACGACTTCAACTGTGCAGCCGGCACAGCTTGGGATCAGTCCCTTCAAACTTGCAATCACATAGACCAGGTCGCTTCTTGTAATGAAATCGACACTGGATCTGGCGGAAGCACACCATCGTCCGATCTAACACCACCTGTTGTTAGTTCTACTTCGTCTGCGGGAACTACAGCCTCGCCAATCATAGCCGTGTCACCTACAGCAACACCGGACAGTACTCAAACGTCATCAACATCAGGGGCAACTTCCAGCTCTTCAACGACGTCAGCTGGAACACAAGGACCTTCTGGTACTGAATCAGCTATATCTTCTTCCCCGGAAGGTTCAGACTGTACAACAAAGGCGCCAAACAACACGATAGTCTGCAACAAGGAAGGTTTTTATCCACATCCAACAGAATGCGCCAAATTCTACCGCTGCGTCGATAATGGAAACGGTTTCAACGTGTACCATTTCGACTGCGCCCCTGGAACCATATTCGACCCCAGTATCAGCGTGTGTAATTATCCTGAGTCGGTGTACCCCCCGAGAGACTGTACTATGCCTCCGGCCAGTCCTCCTAGCCCCACCGAAGGATCCACCGAATCTACGACGGTAACAATTGCAGAGGATCCTTCTACTACTATGTCGACCACAGAGTCTAGCTCGGAATCTACCACGGAATCCACGACCATGTTGACCACAGAATCTACATCTGAAGCAACTACGGAGTCTACGACAGAGGTCTCTACAGAGTCCGCTACAGAGTCAACCACAGAATCCACTTCTGAGGCAACTACAAAATCCACTACAGAATCTACTACAGAATCCACTACAGAATCTACTACAGAATCCACTACAGAATCCACGACAGAATCTACATCTGAGGCAACTATAGAATCCATCGCAGAGTCTACCTCCGAGGCTACAACAGACCTAGCTACAGAATCTACTACAGAATCCACTACAGAATCCACGACAAAATCTACATCTGAGGCAACTATAGAATCCATCGCAGAGTCTACCTCCGAGGCTACAACAGACCTAACCCAGACCAGCGAGACAACCACAGAATCTACCTCCGATTCGACCACAGAGTCTACCTCGGAATCGACTACAGAGTCTACATCTGAAGCAACTACAGAATCGACCACAGAGTCCACTTCCGAGGCAACAACAGAGACCGGAACGGAAGCTACCTCCTCGAGCCCAGACACTGCGGTAACCCCTTGTCCAATCGGGAACTTAACCGACGAGCAAGTGGTCCTGGTGTGTCCAACTGGTTTCCGAAGACATCCAAAGTATTGCAACCTCTTCTACCAATGTACCAACGAGGGTAACATGGAGATCAAGGTGCTGGTATTGAGCTGTCCCGAGGGTACTATCTTCGACGAACAGAAAATACAATGTTTGCCCGAAAACCAGACCAGTCAAGTTTGCATGGGCAGCATAGCTAGTGGAAGGTTTTACAGACGGTTGGAGGAGAGCCCTGTGTCACCTGTAAGCGTACATTCTTATGTGTTGCCTGCATTTTCTGGTAGACTTTTGGTACAATTGTCTAGTTTTCTTTTCAGATAAAGGTGTCCACCGAGAGACTCTGTCCAGGAGAAGGCCATTATCCTTACAGGCAAGGCTGCAGCAACGCGTTCTATAAGTGCAAACGCGACTCCAGGGAGAATCTTCAAGGTTATTTATACAAGTGTCCGCAGAACTTCTTGTACTGGTCGGTTTCAAGGAGATGCGAACGCGCGACACGTCTACCGATGTGCAGTCACCTCGTGTACAGAACCAAGAGCGATTACTGGGAGAATAGATGGCAGATACCGGTCGAAGATTATAACCTATCTGCGAGAAGTCTGCGTATCTTTTAATCGTTAAGGTTAAGGGGAATAATTTCTGTAACCCGCTAGAAATCTTGCAGAAAAAGGACAGTGCAATCCTCAGGTCGATGCCCGATGATCGTTTTATTCTTTCGTGAAGAATGTAGACATACGAACTGGAGAAGAAACGGGAGAAAGAAGAGTTGATTGTTAGATGATCACACAAGACTCTTTGCAACATGGCTGCGGAAGATTCCCCAAGGAGAACATTTTTACGGATCTTCAGCAGCCATCTTGTCGCGATTTGGTCTCTTTCAAGCCGTTGCGCTGACGGCTGGTCATTGAATATTTCTACAATATTTTCTCGCGACTTTTTGCGGCAATGAATTCGCAAAAATCGCTGAAGAACCATGCGTATAGCACGAACGTGTTGGGGTTTTGGTTGCGGGACACGTATGCAATATGCAGCTGTATTCAGTAATTTAGAACGCGTTCGTATTTATCGAGCTGACTAGTTTTGGCGTCTACGTATTCGTGTGCTTTAAAGAATTAACTTTCAAGACGTTTCAAGTCGTATTCAATTCGGCGTGAGTGTGTCCAAAATTGGCGAATGATGTAAAAGACGGATATCTAAACGAAAAGAAAATTTTCATTTTGACACACGCTTGAACATAGATATAGTATTTGTTTAACAGTTCAACAGATCGACATCGGATATTTGCACATTCTCGCCGTCATTTTCTGAATACAGTACAAAGTATCAAGAGCCATGGAAAGATAATCGTGTACATAAATGGCAGTTTAATAACTGTAATGATTGTTTCCAGCTTCCACTATTTAAAACGCAGCGAATCTTCCTTGAGGTCGTTTTACAATGGTCGTGACTGTGAAATGATATGGATGCTGGGTACTTTATTATTGAGAAAAATCGGAAGTTCTACGCTCGACAGATTTCCCGTAATTTAGGATAGGTGAATAGGTAATGCGAAATACTATTAGTATAATCATCGAACTATGTATAAGTATTAAGTGTGTATTAGATCTCTTTGCGAACTGATAAAAAATATATAATAAGGTCCGCGATACGATAACCTTAGACTTCTATATGGGTACATCTATGTTCCTTGAGCTCTAAATCCCTTTAGTCGACAATGAAAAACATCCACAAGGTACCGTCGAAAAAAAACGATTTCTTTGCAACCTGTTCTCAGTCTCCCGATCATCGCTAAAATGATTCATCCTTTAAACAGATGCAGTGCATATGTTTGTACCGACAAATCATATTACATACAAAAAACCGCATAAAAGGGTGATTATTATTATTTCCTGCATATACTTACTTACATATGTATGTGATATGACATTCAACGATATTTACTGCTCGTTACGCTTTCCATTCATACTTAATTTCGTTGAGAAAGCAAACGCGTGAAGGCCAAAGTGGCGCCACTTAGCAACAGTAATATAGTACTAGTTGGCTATTAGTTTGAGCGTTTTGCCGCGGATGGAGCCAAAGACAACGTACACTATTGGATTCGCGGCCGGGATTTTTAGTACAGTCGTCAAGTCCAAATTTTCAGCACTGTTCGTTGCTTGTTTGCCGGAACTTTAGCCAGCCAGCTTGCATGGCTCAAATTCTAGCACGCAATCCAGCAAAAAAACAAGCAAGGGTGATCAAGCTTATAGAATTTTCAGTCGACCCAAGTCTACCGGATCACCCCACTCGACCGAGCAGTGAAATAGAGAAAACGGGGACATAGAGAGGTTAGGTCACAGTGTTTTTTCGTTCCGAAAAGCATACAACGTAGCTAGTTTTTCAACGACATCGTGAGTACACGAAAAATGCCGATAAAATATATTGGCCGCAAAACCGATTTTAAGGGGAAAACGTTGTGGGAAATTTTGGGAAATTTAAAGAATTGTGGAGTGGGTAGAATGATTTTGCGTAGCCAATTTCAAAAATATCGCGAAGCGTCTTACATGAGAATACTGAAAGTAGCCGCACAACCAGACGTTAGCGAACCTGGGCCAGACGTAAGTTCTCGTTTTACCACGAATTCTGCAATTTTTAACGCCCTTCCGAAAACGGTGCAGTTTCTAATATCTTTTCGATGCCTGTTATAGAATCTTCGAAAAGTGGTGGCACTCGTCGAAAGGACTTTCCGGGGCACAAAGAATGTAAAACCAGTTCAAATAGATAGTGTAACTTACAAGGGAGATTACATCTTGGTACCTAAAGATCAAGAGACAAGTTATATAAATGCATCCGAACAACCAACTGTGAAAATTTGCCCCGAAACAATGGAACTCCCCCCTCTGTTGAGGGAACTTCTAATTCAACAAGCAAAACAGGCGGGGAAACCGCTCGTAGACGAACCAAAAATAAAGATTCGGTACTGCGTGGGTCCTGTTAAATTTTACAAAGTCGCGGAAAACCAGTTGTGAATTCGATTTGCAAATTTTTCTCGTTCAAGTGGATCCAATGCTTCTGAAACCAAACGGACCGTGTACGCACTGACCCTAGTTTCTCGATTTAAAACGTGTCCTTCGCTCGTGGATCATTTGTTCTGTTCGCATTAAACTGTCGACGATGTTTTTTGCAACGAAGCGAATCAGCAGCATTGAAGGTATCGTATTGGTCAGCGGTCTGCGGCCCATCTGAAAGTGTATACCGTTCCATCTTTGATGGTTGTGTTGATATACTAAACAGACAATTTTTAAGTGCGTACCTAAAACAGCAATTCCTTCTTGTTGTTTTTGTTGTTGTTGTTGTTGTTGTTGTTGATGTTGTCGTCGTTGTCGTTGTACAGTGCGGCTACCAATTCGTGTATTGAATGCATTTTTCGCAGCAAGATCCTAGTGTTTTCAACGGTGCGTGTAAATCGATCATTTAGATTGTAATATGGTATTGGTACATGTAACATAATACAGTATAACAAAAAATTGTATGAATAATGTATAAGAAAAATTTCAACCGACACATGCGCTACCTTCCAAAATTGCCTTAGTTCCTGAACGTCGACGCGTTTTCGCACGATCCAGCCGCGGATGTATCTTTGGAGGCATAATGCAGCCTCGTCCATAGTCCATATCCATGATTTTGGATAAGGCGGTCTAGAAGGGGAGGGGGGATGGTGGGCGAATTACTTAGATACAATTCGATACAAGATTTAGATCCAATTCTTAGCCTACCGTAAGCGCAACCATTGTTGGAACAGCGGAATATCGAACACGTTCAGCTGCGATGAAACGGTCTTCGAACGACACGGATTACGACGCCACAGAAGCTCGGCGAGATGATCGAGACCGTTGAAGAGACACTTTTGTATCTATGTTTTTTTATTTCGATACGTGATAGTAAATGCGTACGTGGCGGTTAAGGTATGTAAAATTGAGTCATACACGAAGGGCATTCCAGTTGTAGGCCATAACGAGCGTTTCTTCCAACGCGGGTACTAGTAATCGAAAAATCCTTTGATCCAGATACGTCGATGGCGGCTGCGGTTGATCGGCGAGTAACGTAGTGTGAACGTTCGGTTTCAAATTTCCGACAGTTTCATCAACAGGATATTTTGTTCCATTAACGTTCAATAGAAAATGTTCTTTTGGCAATCCGGTAAGACATATTTGTTGTGTGACTTGCATACCTGACAATTATGAGTAGGTAGTAGAGATGATTTTCGCCTAGAACAAAAGCTTCGAAGGATAATTGAATGCGTGAAAATCATTTGTCAATCGCGGCAGCAACGATACAACGAGCTATCGAGCGATCAACAAGATCGGTTCTTCACTCGAATGTTTGATAATGGAATTTTTGTCGGAGGAGGAGAAATGATTTTTTGGTTCTTTCTCCGGTCTCTCGTCTAAATGCCCCCATGCAAGCCTCGATGTCCAATAGTAAGAGCTGAACTGAGAAAAATAGGTACGACTCGCGCGTAACCGTTGTCCAGCGTAGACAATTTTCTTGTTTCTGTTTCTCAACTACTTACTCCGTAATCGTTGCGTCGAGTGTTGATCGACAGTTTCCAGTCGCCCAGGCACCGTGGATCTTGGATGATCAGCTTGCATCCAGTGTTAAAGCTCGTAAAATAGCGGACGTGAATTTCGACCACGATGACCACGAACAACGAGCGACCGACAATGATGTTTTCCAGAAACGATTGGAGATCGGACAAGAAACTTCTGGCAAAGGTATAACTAATACACTAGACTAGCTGCTTCAGAAACGAAACAGACGCGGAAACTTGTAGAGAAAACGCGACATTGTTCAATTCGTTAGTATCCAGATTGAAAGGTACAGAAAAGGGAAGCCTCGATCCATCGCAACCAGTCGCTTTTACCAAGAAAGTGGGAACGTCTCGCCAATTCGTCGACAGAAAAACAGGGCAAGGTAAGAGAGGTTGTCGAGTCCAAAAACAAGTGACAGAATCGTAGAAAAAATTTGGGAGACGATACTTTTCTTTGAAACATTTAAACTGGTCAGCATTTTCGAAGACTGTTGAGGAAAGGGGTGTTGATACGTCTCGTGCGGTCGTGCACACTGTGGAAACCGAAACATCTCGATCGCCGTCCGATGTAGAAAGAACAAAAGCGGATACCGCAACGCAAATTCAAGGGCAAGGTAAAAGATGTATCGATTACATACATATGTATACGTTACATAGGGCGGCATTCATAGTCCGAACTTATTCTTAAGATTGCCTTAAGCAAATCTTTAGGGCAATTAAGTATTTCCTTAAGGCAATCTTAAGAATAAGTTCGGACTATGAATACCGCCCGTAGAAAGAAATCACACTGTCTATGGACTTATGAAAGAAAGTGATCTCGTCGATCAATCCGATTAGTACAGTTATCATATGGAAACGATAACATCTCGATAACTTTCTGATGTAGGAGTCGATAGAATGATCGAAACTAGTGGTACTATCAGAGGAACAACTAGATCCGTCGGAGATTCTGCATACGACCAACTGGACCGTGATAGAATGGATAGAACGGTGCTTACGGACAGAAAATCCGATATCGTGGAATTTGAAACTGAATGCGAACCAACCTGTCCACGGCGTATTTCACGAAGCAAGTACATTTTTTCGAAAGCTATTACCGATGTGGATATTATTATATTATATGTATTATACCCCTCTCCCCCCCCCCCCCATAATACAAGCTCGAATATGATTTCCATTGTATAGAAGATAGAATATACAAACTCGAGGAAAGGCAAAAAATCGTAGATGCGTATTTGCTGAACAAGGGGACGCGATACTTCGAAGATGTTTGCACTTGTTCCCTTTCCTGCATTGTCCGTGCATTGAGGGACGATTCTTTTGTCAGAAGCATAATAACATCAGTTGCCGTTTTCACGCTGGGTCTGAAACTTTGTTCGGAATTGGATGCTTGGTACTTGCCGATTCGACTTTTGTGAAAAAGAATAAAATAAAAGTGTACTTCACACATTATATACTCAGTTCCCGTATGTTTTAACAATATTATTATTTTTTTTAACAATACTATTATTAGAATTATTGACGAAATATTTTTCTAGAAGCACATTCACTGTATACGAACAAAATTAAACCCAAAGAAACAATGTAATGTGTTGGGAAAAAAAAACTGCTCCAGGTGAGGCTCGAACTCACAACCCCGGCATTGCTCACTAGTCACTGTCTTATAAGTACCGTGCGCTAACCAATTGCGCCACTGGAGCTGTTGCATACAACCCCGCTAATAATGTTTTTCGCTGACTCGCGCATTGAAGCAAAAAAAACGACAGTTTTTGCGAAGTATCGCGTGTAATTATCTGCAATGCATAATCTATTAACTGGCGTTATATTAGACGTATCGTATGCCATTGAATAAAATGGTTGGGCAAATTAGTATTCTGTAACGAGTATACATAACACATATGTATACATATATGTATATGTATTAACATACGTATAAGTGAAAATTACAAATCTTATAAGGGAACTGGTATTGTTGCCCTGAAATGCATCAGTGAAATATGAAAAAAAAAAAAAGCGCCTAAAAAAATAAAGATCATCGTAAATATACGTATATTGCAACATATGAAAAAGATAGAACAAGGGTGTAACGTCGCATTATTGCTGTCCTTCAATGATTGATCGTGTTTCATTTTCTTTCCATATCATGTTCAAAAATCAATCTATGTATTGCTTGTTTATTAATTAATTAATTCATTTAACCAATTACATACATACACAATTGTTGTGTTTATGATTCATAAGGCATAAGCCATGAGGTAAGGGTGACGTTTATGTACGTACGTACATGTGACATGCATCAACGATCAATATTATATTTGTTCACATCATTTTACGAGTTTTCGAAAGCTGCATGCTGGATATGCAATACTATTTGAATAAATTTCACAGCAATTGCCTTAAATACTACTGATGTATACGATTTTACAATAATTCATAACAATATAATCCCTTGTATGTTACAGATGTTCGAGAACCATTGACTTCGATATTTATCTTCTTATGTACTGTGATTCATTTACTGTGATTTATTTACTGTGCATATTATGTATTCTATGTGTATTGTATAATGAAAAATATTTTTCCAAACAGTTATTCCATCGAAAGAAGACATCGATCAACGTCTACATCCTCGAAGCGTTTACCACTGCGTTAAGTTACTGTAAGTTAAACTTAAATCATAATTCGATATTCATTGTTATATTCATATTCATCATCACATCGTTTATTATTAATTTTAGTCTATCTATTAATAGACTTAAATTGTGATCATCTATTGTGCATACCAAGTTATTATTAATTCATTTTGCTCGTTGATTCTCTACACACTATTGAATTTGTATTTTCATAAACAAAGTTAGAAACTAGTACTTGTGGGAACGGGCATCATTTTTCTTCGTCACGCATTAAATTCGAAAATTAAAGAACGTAGAATAATACTCTCTAACGGCTGGGAACCAGTAATTACAAGAACATTGTTAAAATCTCAATTGTTTGCTACGGTTGACACTCTATTTCGCGATGCGTACCCCGTTTAGTTCACATTAAATAGCTCTTCCAACGTTCTATGGACAGGTTACGTCTTGATCAAGCATGCAGTTTGAAGCTGAAAGAACGTAGATTGATCCCCTGTCATTGAAAATAACAATAAACAACCAGAACACTGTTAAAATCGCATTTAATCGCGGAATACCACTATTTTTTCGACCGGTGGCGCCACCCGTGGCGAATCATTGAAACTGCTAGTCAATTTTACGCTAGCAGTTTCAGCGATTCACCACGGGTGGCGCCACCGGTCAAAAAAATAGTGGTATTCCACGTTTAAATGCAATTTTAACAGTGTTCTGGTCGTTTATTGTTATTGTTAACGAGAGGGGATTAATCTACGTTTTTTGAGCTACAAATAGAGTGCTTTATCTAGACGAAAGCTATCCGTATGACGGTGTAACAGCTGTCTAAAGTGAACTAAACAGGGTACGCATGACGAAATAAAGTGTGAACCGCTGTAAATAATTGTGATTTTAAAAAGTAATATGAAATAATAAATAATAACAAAATAATTAATTCTATAACTTTCAAGTTTTGGAAGAAATTCTGGGATTAGTTCCAGTTTTCGCCACCAAAGTAGTGGGGGCGCCACTAAATGTCCCATAAATCCCAAATTTTTCCGGCACTTTTCTGAATTCAAGTTGGCCGAAAAAACCTGCAAGTTTGTGGGCGTCTCTAAGCCCCCACCAGGGCGCCACCAATTTATTCATTATTCTTCGTTGTTCTAATTATTCCTTCACTTTATACGATATAACTCGAATTTTTGTTTTGATGTCGTTAATGTAAAATATACAGATTATGTGTCGCGTGTAAAGAACTGTTAGGTTTCTCCACTAATTAGAAACGATCACAAGAAATCACGAATCACTGTGAAAAATCACCGTGATTGGGAACGAACGTGATCTAATCACGTGTGATTCACTAGTAGCAGTTCACGCCATCTCTAATAGAAGTCGAGTGCGATGCACTGCGAGCAGCGCCATCCACTGGATCCAGTCATATCCAGTCACCATCGCCATCGATGCTGCATATATAGGTGGTTGTCAAACTGGGTTTTACGACTTAATTGTCAAGTACAGCAAGATAATTGTATAAAGTCCAAATAAGCGGAACAATTATAAATAATAATCGATTGTTTCTGGTAGAACAAAATGTTTCGTAGCTCGTTTACCTTTGATAAATTATTGGGTACGTTTTTACTAATAAAATATCACACGTTAACAAAATGTCCGACTACTCATTTTGATAATTTTAATTAAATTTTCCCAGACAAAGCAACGAGTCATTTACAGCTCGAGCCTGACTGGGTCGCAATTCTCCAAATATGCGATTTAATTCGTCAGGGTGATGTACAGTGAGTATATACTGTCATCTAACGGATAACTAACCTTCATCGTTTTTAATAATAACGAAGAAATTACACTTTTTACGTAATAGTGTCATATTGATTGATTTCATGCTTGATCCATGTCTTTGGTTAAATTTCATTACCATTTGTTAACATCCCTTCCTTACTTTGCCTTGACTTTTGCAAACAAAATTTAAATATTATATTTTGTATGTGCATAGACCTAAGGCAGCACTTGCAGCAATTAAGAAGAAAGTGACGAATCCTAATCCGCACGTAGCTTTGTATGCTCTATTGGTGAGAAATACTAAGACTAATAAAAAGCTTGCTATTAAAGTATTAGAAATACTTTAAAAGTATTTGTCGAATGTAGGTTCTAGAGTCTTGTGTTAAAAATTGTGGTACTTTGATTCATGATGAAGTTGGCACAAAACAATATATGGAACAGCTTAAAGAGCTGGTAAAAACAACAACACACGAGAATGTCAAACTGAAAACTTTAGAGTTGATACAAGCCTGGGCACATGCGTTTAGAAATAGCCCTAAATATAGAGCAGTACAAGTATGTCAAGTTCAGTTACGTGTATACTTTTATTATGGTAATATGAAACGTTATTATTCATGCAGAATGTATACTTTAGGATACACTGAACATTATGAAAACTGAAGGATACAATTTCCCTGCTTTGAAAGAAAGTGACGCTATGTTCATTGCTGATACTGCTCCAGTATGGGCCGATGGTGATGTATGCCATCGTTGTAGAGTCTCTTTTGGAGTAATGCAGAGAAAGCATCACTGTAGAGCTTGTGGTCAAGTATTTTGTGCTCAGTGCTCCAGCAAGGCATCCACTTTACCTAAGTTTGGGATTGAAAAAGAAGTTCGAGTTTGCGAAGCTTGCTACGAGCAAGTTAATAAGTAAGAATAAATTATTACTATTATTATTAATTTTTTTTCTTTTATTTCCCACTGCTCTTATCTTTTATTGTTAATTTTTTAAATGTATTTGTATAGACCATCCGCAGTGCAAATCAAAGAAGCTGATTTACCTGCTGAATATCTTAACAGCTCTTTGGCTCAGCAACAGCAAGTATGTTATCTCAGTGAAGAAAGTTCTGTATCATAGGAAGCACATCGTTATGCTTAATTCTTTATTGTACTAGGTGCCGCCTAAGAAGACAGCAGCCGAGCTTCAGGAAGAGGAAGAACTAAATCTTGCTATTGCCTTAAGTCAGAGTGAAGCGGAACACAAGGAAAAGGAGAAGAAACGGACCACTAGTACTATAAAATCAAATACAAGCACCCTAAATAGGACAACATATTCCCCACCGCCGTCTCCTGTTAGTTTTTTAAATGGTGAAGTTTCATAAAGAAATTGTATATAACTTGTTACTTTTCAGGGCCCAAGCCCGTCAGCGTTACAAGAAGAAGAAGAGATTGAACCAGAGCTCGCAAAATATTTAAATCGAAGATATTGGGAACAAAGACAAACTTCGATAGAAGAGCATGCTTCTCGGGCTGATGTGACTAGTCCATCTGCTCCTAACATAAGTAGTCCAATGCCGCAAAAAGTTGTAGTCGCGAAACAACAAAACGGAGAAGTTGATAGCCAAATGGAGGAGTTTGTTAACGCGTTGCGATCGCAAGTTGAAATATTTGTTAATAGGATGAAGAGCAATTCGTCCCGAGGCAGATCGATTGCGAACGACAGTTCTGTGCAGACTTTGTTTTTAAATATCACTGCTATGCATTCAAGGTTTATTTCAAAACGTGCTTTAAGTTTATGTAAAAATATTTGAAAAATTTCAACCTAATACGGACATGTACATTTCCCCAGATTATTGAGATATATCCAAGAACAAGACGATAATAGAGTATATTACGAAGGTCTTCAAGATAAACTAACGCAAATGAAGGATGCTAGGGCTGCCTTGGATGCTTTGCGGGACGAACATAAAGAAAAATTAAGGAGGCAAGCAGAGGAAGCTGAGAGAAAAAGACAAATGCTGATGGCTCACAAATTAGCAATCATGAGAAAGAAGAAACAGGAATATCTACAGTATCAACGGCAGCTTGCTTTGCAGAAAATTCAGGAACAAGAAAGAGAAATGCAGATGAGACAAGAACAACAGAAACAACAGTACATAATGGGTAAGTACATGAGAGTTAACAACTTGTAATTGCATGTTTTTTTATTCTGTGTGATCAATTCCAGGTGGTTATCAGGCTGTTGCTGGCTACATGGGACCATCGCATGGTTCACCCGTTCGTCATGTTCAGTATCAAGGACCTGGATCTAATTATAATCCTATGTCCCCAACGAACCAAGGATACATGTATGGACAACCTCCTGTGAAGCAGTATCCGATGCCAGGGTACAATATGCCTCAGATGAATGCAATGCCAACCCATATGCTGGGACCAGCAGCCAGTCAGGAACAGCAATCAACTGATCCGTCCGTTCAGGGACATGAAGCCTTGGGTCGAGTTACCGTTTCTGGGCCCGGAATGGTGAGTGCATTCCGAACTTTCTTACATCTGCTTTAGACTGCTAGTAAATACTTGTCAAGTGTCTTTACGTCACAGTGGCATATCATCGAAATATTTGAATGTATAGATTATTTTATTTGACCGTTTTTCTACATTCTACATCTCTTTTAAAGATGTCTCAAATGACAAATCCAATACCGCAACTACAGCAGACAGGTGGACATCAAATGGGGCCGCCGAGTCATGTGACGCAAACGCAACCACCAACAGGCCATATTCCAGCCCAACAAGGTGCTCCGTCGCAAATTACGCAACAAGGGCAACCGAATCAAATGGGCATACCTCAATTGGGTCCTCAAGGTCATATGGGTCCCGGAGCGCATGGTCCACCGGGTCAAGTGGTTGGTCTTCCACCTCAAATGGGACCACAACAACCATCCACATTGCCAGCTCCTCAAGGGTCTTCGATGCAGCCTCATGTTTCAAACCCTCCAATTTCATCCCAAGAATCAGGTACTATTCAAGTACCGGCAGGAGCTGCATCGGGGCCTATCCTAACATCGAACCAAACGATGCCAGGTCCTCAGGGACCTAACTTACCCGCGATGCCTCAAGGAATATCTCAAGTCCCTGTTTCTCAAAATCAGCCGTCATTATCGTATCAACCCAGCACATCTATGCCACCTCCATCAAAGGAAACCGCGCAAACGAAAGAAGACTCAAAGCCTGAAACAGCGGAGTTGATCTCTTTCGATTGAAAAAAACACGGTGAAATATTAACCGATAATTAGAAGTGCATTTAAGGTAATTATCAGTTTAAAACATAAATTTGTATATTTTAAATTGGCCCTGGTAGTTTCAATTTCCTTGTAAAACTGGGATTCTTATTGGACTGACAAAACTGTTCTTTTAATGTATTAGAAATTAACAACAATTGACCTTATGCGCATAGGAGCATCGTTTTCTTCATATTTTCCATATTAAACGAGATTATCTAGCGACTTTCAGTCTCTAAATGAAAAAAGCCAACCCGACGCTGCTTACTTGGCAGCGTTCGTTCGCAAAGAGTTAATTCTATCGTATAATAGGTCATAGGTGTACCTATCATAAACATTTGTTTTTAGCAGATTTTATATATGTGTGCAATTTTTGGAAATATGCAATAAGATTTCCTTAAGTTATGATATCCTTTTGAAAGTAAATACATCTAAATATTATACGTTTTATAGTCACTAATAGAGGCTTGTTGAATTCTCATAAAACAAAAACCTGATTTGTCACAAGAAAGAGGATCTTTCATTGTCGGTATTTATTTTGTGTTATAGAAATTTCGAAACAGTAATCTTATATACAGAAATTAAATACAAGACTTTGTTGCATAATTTCTAGTGCAAAAGTTACTTGTAGGATTTTAAATTTTTTACAAGATTATTTCCAACGTGTTATCCGGCTTATTAAAAGAATGATGAAATATGGGATTTCTTTCAAGTCATTATTCAGGCGCAGCACCTTAGGAAAATCTTTTATTACACGGATGAAAAATCACTTTCATTTACTCATGATCGCATATACATATTTCCAATTCTCCTTTAAATTGTCCCGATGAAAAGAAATAGAATTTCAACTGCATATTCTGCTTTCTTTGAAATTCTAACAATCATACTGTTTCCACTTGACCCTTTCTGCGTGGTTTTACTTCTTGCGGGCAGGTAAACGATGTTTCTTCCGAATGTTTTCTGATCACAGTCGAGGATTCGCCATTAGTTGAACAGGTAGACATTTGACCGTCCTTTTCGTGACACACATGTGATATGCTCAATCCATTAGACGTTAAAGTGGCTTTTCGAAGACGCATGTCTTCCAAAGGAATTTCTTCGCTTCGCGGCCTTGGCATTTTTGGTGAATTGTCTCGAGATCGCATACCATTTTCTTCTTGACTCTTTTCGTTCGTGTTATTATCACCACGTTTGGACGTAGACGAGGGAAAACCGGCAGGGGGTGCAACAACATTTTCTCTGCGCATTTGCGCCGCGAATCCAGGTACTCTATTTACGATGAACATCGGTCGTGGGTGATCCTTTTGTCTTTGTCCACGACCCACTAAACCTACAATTATATACATATAATTGAATAATATTCCTAGTTGTTAACAATCGGTGTTTGTGTTCGACCCCATAACACATCTTACGTTCGTGTCGCAAACCGCGTAAAGCATAATTTGGTGGTGGCGTTGAGGAGTGAGGTATGCTTGTGGGAATGTCAAGTAATCTCGCGATTTGATTCATCTTCTTTTGTCGTGCTTTTATCCTTCCTTTCGTAAGCCTTCAAATAAACGTGACAAGTTTATATCTATAGTGTGAACTGGCATACGGTAATTGATTTAGAGCAGCCACATACCTTTGTTTGGCAGCCATGCATCTAATGTGATCGTCAAAGATGAATTTTGTCGATAATAAAGGAACACGGTTGCCGGTAGTACTACTCAAAGGTTTGTATATTGTTAAGTGTAAACACCTTGAATCATCTTTGTCGCCGGCCACTTCGATGTCTTGTAAAAAGCCCACCAATTTTGCTACTCCCCAGCCAAGCTTACTAGTGTCAGGTTCTACAAGGATTAATTGCACAACATCGATGACTAGAAAACGGCGAATCTTTTGACCGTCCTTCCACACGACCGTACACGCGATCAAGTCGCTATTATCTATTGCAAAGTACAATAAGAAATACGCATTTGTAAGTATACATATAAACGATGCTTTCTATAAGAGTAAGTGATATGCTAAACAAAATATCTTTTACTTAGATCAAGAACTTTATCCACTTGAACACAGTTGGCTGGGTTAGTTAGAGGCAACTGCGTTTCCGCTTCCATATTAAGAGTTAAATATAGTTCTCTTATTAAAAAAAATACTCTTATGGCGCGGCGTGCTCTCTCCACCTGTGCAAACGCATTAATTTTATCCTCTGTCGATAAGTTTAACTACTTACTTTCTATTAATAACGCGTTAAGAAAATTGGAACGATTCTTTTTCATTGTACTTACTTCGCCACACGGTAATCTTTTAGTGAATTCGATACCCGTCATGGGAGTTCCTGTTGGCGGTAATAAAATGTTACTGTCCATCGTTAACCATTCAACGTTTAATGGTCGTTTTTGAATTTCACTATATTCATCCTCAAACATGTCCAAGAATATGTCTTCGCTCTGAAAGCATGGTAAAGGTAATTTTTTTTCATTCACATATTTTACGTTAGCTGACCAACTCTCATAAGATACCTTATAAAAGTTCTTTAACAACGAGGTGCTTTGCTCTTTGGCCGCCTCGATCGCTGACAAATCTGAATCTCTTAACATAGTTTGTCCTTCCGACATTACTAATTGCGTTAACAATTTAATTGCCAATTCCAATGTAACAAGCCTCACTTTCGCATCTGGCAAAAATATCATTCGTAAAACCGTGAATTATTACTTGGAAAATTAAACGTAGTCTGGAAATTGACTCACTTGTTTGACAACTTAATGTTATAATATGAATCAGTCTATCTATTAAAATTTCGTTATATAAGCTTGTAGAGTTTCGTGAATTGAATAGAATTGGATCCAATATTTCACGATCAATGCCCTACAAAAATTTCAGCATTAACACAGATACGTCATATTATCATTATAGAATACATTTCAAGTGCTTTTCTTACCCGATTGTTGGCTAGAGCGTAAAGCAAACATAATGCAAATAAGGAAGCATAATCGTTTTCTGTACAAAATAAAGAATTCAGAATCGTTTCTAAAAACGGCTTATTCGACATCGATTCAGTAACATTGTTCTGCGTTTGTAGTGTCAAGGGGCATTCCAACGCCAACCTTTGTTCTTTCTCTTCGTCAGTTACGTTTAAGAATTTCATTTCTTCTATATCTTCGTTTAAACTGCTACCGTCTACTTGTTCTGGACTCGTAGGAGTAGGTGCAACTACTATTGTAGTATCAAAAGATGTACTAGGATAATCCGTTCCTGATGTCCTTGTAGCCATGCCATTACCTTTCCCCTCTTCTAAATTGCATTCTTCCTCGCAAACACCGTCCGACATACTTAAAGATTCACTTAAATTTTCTAGAGACTTCTCTAAACTTTCTTTCGGTGGTGAAAAAGCAATTGATCTATTGAATCTAATATCACCATACGTTTCAAGCATTTTGCTCGCATCCGTTTGAATGGTTTCTAAGTCTGACAGTAACATTACTGCTGCTAGTGTATGTACAAGAGGAGCATGGGAGACTATCAGAAATACTTGAGAAAGTAGAAACAGAGCAACTACAACGCTTACATGTTTTCTCTCATCCTATTAATAAAAAAGTAAATTACTTCCATACATAACAATCGTATAATTATTCATTGAAAACATACCTGATTTTGGCACAAAATATTCTTATGTCTTGTAAGCGAATAAACGTACAATGGAACTAATAATTTGTGAAGCAAATGCTCGGATAAAACTTTATTCAAGTCAGATATATCCAAACAAAGAATATCATTTAAGTAATGTAAGTGATCTAAATGCTCTGCTACTAAGTCCGATAATCTATTTTGACTTTGATGACTGAAACATAGATATGAACATAATATATGCACAGGGAAATTCATTTTGAAGATAATCATTTAAATTACATTGGTAATTTTTTCACTTACTCGGCATCATTTCTGACACAAGTGTCAAGCTCTATAATGTGATTGCCAATAAACCATACAAGATTACTGAAATAAGGTGCTGCAGTGCGATCTCTTATGAATGCAAGCATGGAGGCATCTTCTACACGATATACATTTAAAGTCAAGGTTCGTACTGCTATACGAACCATACCTTCTGAGTGGTTAAAAAATTTAATTGCCTCCGTATACAATGGAAAATCATTGGTGTGCTGATAAAAAAAATTAAATTAAACAATACCCTTTTTTATATTTGTTTAGTGCTAAACTGACTAATGAAATAATGATTACAATGAAAAGAATAGTATTAGTTGACTAAAATATGCATACATTCAAAGCTTTTAATGTAATCACGTGTACCTCGTTTACCTCGTTATAGAAGAAATGAATGGTATGGGCATTTAGCTTCAAGCTCAATGTTTTTAGGAAACTGATATAATATGCCATCACCTCTTCATCACTGAAGTCAAATTTGTGCACTATTATACTGTTTACATGATTGTTGCTAAGTAAGTAATCTAAAAAAAACAAGGAATTTTTCAATAACGGAATATTTGAAAGCTACGACAAATGATTTTTTAGGAACTTACACAAAGAGGTTTCATTACGTATATTCTCAAACAATATGTTCAATGTCTGTAGCAACTGAACACATACATAGCTTCCACATTTTTGTTTCATGATACGTAAAAAGAATGAAAGCATATTTTTTTCCAAGAAGAAACTGAAGGTCAAAGGTAATACTAATAGTAATATAAGGGAAATGATTTTGATCAAGTACATGTACATAATATATTGATTATACTTACTCAAATACACTACTATCATTTTGATCACCCCATATTAAAATTTCAGCTATAGAACGAAGAGTCTCCACCAATAAACCTCTGTTGTTTTCAGACACAATCTGATTCTTTGATAAGACATTATACAGGTACCTATTTATAACAGGAACAAACAGATATATATATGTATATATGGAAGCAAATATTTTTTAATATGTATACTTACTTAAGGTGCTCCAAAGAATGAGGATTCTTGGGCTTCCAGAGCCCTCCTCCAAACCAACTCCGGCTTCGAAACATTTTTTAATATTGCGATCGCATTTGGGTGGTGGCTAGCGTTGATCTCATCTTTTGTTTTTTTGTGTCGCTAAAGAATCGTCAACAGTTCTGTTAATGTTATTAGGATCACAAGAAATTCTTTATACGAAACTATGCATTTTTTTATAAACCTCGTAAACGTTAAAAGAATTTCTAAATAAATTAACGGTGAACATCAACATATTCTTCAGGTTAGATTTCTTGTTTTTGCATTATTCATTTTTATTATACTCTCATGCTCAATTATTGTATTGCTTGATGAATTAGACTTACTTTTTCTATACATTTTCCTGATCGTACCAGGTACAAGTTTTCGGAGTAGCGACAATCAGAAACGTAAAATTTTGCACGTCGCAAAACGTAGCCTACCCTCCATTACTGAATGGACTATGGAATCATGTGTTAGGTTACTTCGTTGTCATTTCCTGTCATTATTTATATACAATGATTTTCTTTAAAAAAATGTGTCAGTTATAGAGCAACGTATTTCTTTTATAAATCATCAAATGTTACTTAAGTTGTATGTACATGTATAAGTCAAAGTTACGAAACAATAATTTACGAAGCGTACCAATACGAGTATATGGTCATATGCAAGTACATACATGCATACATACATGCATATGTACTTACATATATGTATATTTAAATAGATCTGAATAGATCAGGTTGTGTAGACGACAATTAACGAAATATATGTTGAAGCATTTGTATTTAAGAAGATTCAAATTAATTACCAATGATGAGAGTATTAGAATTGTATAGCGGTATCGGTGGGATGCATTATGCGCTTCAAGGTGAAAAAATGTTAACCTACATTTTCCGACGTGTTGTTTTTTATTAATTGCGAAAAAGAATATATGAAATTATAATTAATATTTATATTTTTAGAAAGTGGCGTCAGTGGAAATTGTGTTGCAGCAATTGATATAAACAATGTTGCAAATGCTGTCTACAAGTACAATTTCCCAAATGTTTATCTAATAAATCGCAATATTCAGTCGCTTTCTGCACAAGAAATAAACAACATAAATATAGATACTATATTAATGAGTCCTCCTTGTCAACCTTACACAAGGGTAGGCCTTCAAAAGGATATCTCAGATAATAGGTCTTCTAGCTTATTTCATGTTCTCAAACTTATACCTCAAATAAAAGTGCTGAAGTATATATTACTTGAAAATGTAAAAGGGTTTGAGAAGTCTGAGATGAGAAATGCAGTATTAAAATGCATTAATGATTCTGGATTTGATTACAGAGAGTTGATTCTAAGCCCCTGCCAATTTGGTGTTCCAAATAGTAGACACAGATATTATTTACTGGCTAAGAAAAGGAACCTCAGATTTTGTTTTGATAATGTGAGATTAAACTTTAATTTACCAGAGAATGTTCTAACAGCTTTGCCGAAAAGTAAACATAATCTGTTAGTAGATAAAAATTGTACACAAGACACTGAAACTAATAAAAAGTGTTATACATTAGATAACATTTTGGAAACTGTTGAAGAGACACAATACCTGGTACCAAGAAAGCTATTGCAAAAAAGAGCTTGGTTACTAGATATAAGAACATCTCAAAGTCATGGGTCTTGTTGTTTTACAAAAGCCTATGGCCATTATGTAGAAGGTACAGGATCTGTATATTGTCCATATTCCGAAGAAACGATTAAAGAAACATATTTAGCAGCAAGAAATTGCAATAGAGAATCATTAGAAGTGTCAGAATATTTAGGAAAATTAAGACTAAGATATTTTACACCAAGAGAAGTTTGCAGATTAATGTGCTTTCCAGAAGATTTTACATTTCCAGAGCACTTAACATGCAAACAGAAATATAGGCTATTGGGTAATTCAATTAATGTACATGTAGTTAGCAGACTAATATTTTTATTATGTACCGAAGAATAACTTGTATAAGTATATTGAAAGAAATGTACTTAATAATTTTTATCGGCATACAGTAATTGTACTGTATGTAAAAATATTTAGCTTTTAATGCAAATAAAAGTCATCCACACATAAGTAGTACCTGGTATTAGATATTAATGACTATACAATTCTCTTTGATTACCTTAAATCATTTCACAGCTATTGCTTTAGATTTAAAGGCATCATAATTTCCTCTGCATTCCGAAAGTTTAGGAATGCTAATAATTCAACTCCTTTACAGTTTGTAAATTTCAATACTTTTTATTGCTTCTTAGTGCTTATTACACTGATATATTTTATGTATTTTATATTGTCTCTAATTCAGGTGGAATATGAATCTTTTTTTCTGCTGCAAATTTTTTCAATGCAAGATACTTTGAATGCCAAGATTCTATTTCTTCTCTCATACGATTATTGTCCTCTTGCATAGCTTCCATGTCCCTGTATTCCTGTGTTTTTTCTGATTCCAGTTCATCCTTTTGTTCGATTCTTTTGATGCGGCAACTGGCAGCATATCCTCTGTTTTTTAAAGTGCGTCTACGTTGTTTCATACGTACTATTTCATCCCGTGACAGTCCACGTAGCTTTAGTTGTCTGTTCAGATCCCTGACTGATATAGACACCAATTCATCATCACTAATATCAAGGCAAGGGCCAGGTGACAGTGGATCCTATAAAAAAAAGGAAAGGAATATCTTTAATTACGACGAAATCAATTTTAAATTATGATTCATGGCTTTATTCACATACGTGAAATGTGTGTGTGTGTGTGTGTGTGCCTTTGAAAAAGAAGATATGCAATGTGTCTGGAAAAACATAGGAGACGATAGCATACGTAGGGGCGAAGTAACGTACCATTTTTATAGATCGTTTTCCGTCCATAAACCTACTTCACGACGGAATTTTTCAGGTTCCAGCGTGTAGTAGCCACCGAAACTTGGATTTTCCTTTGCCTTTTACGCTTTCAGAAGAAATTTGCTTAGTCATTGTAGGTTCTCAGGCAGGTCAATTCGCCATTCGTCTGACGGGGATAAGTACCTTTCTAAAAACATTAATCTATTATGTATTCGCCTAATTTGATTTACCAAGAATCGATCAGATTATTTAACGTTTGCATGGTACTTTTTCAGAAATTCTTTTTATATGTATACATAATAACTTTAAGTATGTACATAAATATTTTATCCATGGGCATCCATGGGTTATTTCAAAGTCTGCTGCAGTCTGCTGGGTCTACTGGCTTTGCTGTCTCTGTGTAAAAGGCGCGTTTTCATGTTAATTCAGGTATTTCTCGATAGATGGCCATCAACACTCGAGGTTTCGCGTTTGTTATCCCATTGTAAATCTTTCAGTTATAAGCGAACTATCCGAGAGGTCGAAATGGCGGGTTTACGAGTGAATGCAAAGGTACTTAGAAGGTATAAATTGTGTTCGTTGTTACCTAACCCAGACCTGCAGATCAATGCATAACGAAACTTCTATATGAAGCTGGTTTGTTCGTCCTTCTTCCAGTCAAAAACGTTTAAGGGTATTCTCGTAAACCCGTTTTTTATGGATTTTGTTACAGAAGGTATATATAAATTTGGCTATTTTTTATCTTATAGAAGTCGTTTATCGTTTCTCTTTCAATCTTACCATATTACGTATGTTCAATATAGAATATAACACAATAAATCATGTGTCATATTTATTTCATAAGCAATAAAGATGACGTCACAAAAATATGCGAGTGCTTATAATTATGTATATACATATGTTCTCTTTATTCCTTGAAGTGAATATACTTTGTTCTACACGTTTTATTCGATCTGATTGTTAATATTTTAATATGATCGTGTTCTGTTGTGTATACTAACATTATTCCTGTTTTAATGACACAACATTTGAATGGAGCTACATACATATACATATATGTATAATGTGTATGATGTATTGAAATATTATGTTTTGTACAAATACTCACGTAGTACTACAGTTTTCAAATAATCCAGATGGCGTTCGAGCTCCGTTTGAATGGATTTCGACGATGTCGTGTCAGTAGTGTTTCTGTGAAGTGATTCGTTAATTTTTTTTCGTTCAGCAACGTCTATCACGGTACAGAAAGTGGTACATATGTTTGTTAATATCTGTCAGTGTTGCTTTCAGGTAATAATTTCGTCTTTTTATTCGTTTAATGTGTAAGAGCTTGCATGATAAATAGACTGTTCATATATTTTCATGATTGTTATATCGAATAGGATGATAAGCTAAAGAAATATCAGCTGAAAGAATAACGTGGCCTGTCGTATTACTCACGATGTGTATGGATTTCCATATTCAATTATCGTTAAGTAAACGCATCCGTTCGTGTTGCTCTTTCTACATTGTTTAATGAAAAATAAACAAAGACATTAATTGGACAATGAATATTATTGCATTCGTGTACATTTAAAGCACGGAATCGGAAAACTACCAATTTGCCGTTCTAGGAATGAAAAGCATACCATTTTTCATTTTGATAGTTGAAAGTATGCTTTTGTTTGCAAAACAATACAGTCTCATTAGCAGCTGTGTTACCTGTTCTCTTGGTTGTGCATGCGTTTGCTGAAATTGTTTAAAATTTTACAATAGAAAATGTAATATCGTGTATTTGCCGAATCGGCGAAATATGTAATGCACACAGTGAGTTCAAGAGGCTTCGAAAATTCGTGTTCGTGTGTGCAGTTTCATGTTTTCAGATTCTCTTTGGACGCATGCATACATACATACATACATGCATACAAACATGGTTCGATACTTTTTCCATTTAATCCACTGTTACTGTGTAACTATACCATCGATATTTAAACGGAGTTCGTCAATGTGTATTCTGCTCGGTTCTATTGGTTTAAGTAATTCTCGGATTAAAAAGGATCGATCCGGTGCTTAACTATACAGAGTGCTCTATTCAAAACGGATACGGTTTTATTTTTGCCTACTTCATTCTACGATGAAATTTCAGATCTCTTTATATTCATAATATCACGATGAATTTTATTAATCTTTTATCTCGTTCATCCTTATGAAGTAGTTGATTATTCACTGTTCGATGGAGGCAAGGTGGCAGTGTCGTATTAATGTTTACCATCTTGTTTTTCCGTTCCAGAACCCGGCAGTGGCTATTATCTCGAAGCAGTAACTCAATAGCCGGGAAAATGGCAGGAACGGAGGAGGATGATTGCAGGAAAAACGAGGGAGGTGTTATTAAGGATAGGAAGCGAAGAAAAAAGATATTTCCCAGGCGAAACTACGAGTAAGTAGAGCCATGGAGAAGCGTATAATTTATGATGCATAAAGCCGAAATTACATTGTTAGAAATCGTTGAGGAGATCATAGCGATTTCTGACATCTTGGAATATCTGAGACAAAAGAAAATTAATTATTTGAATTGTTATATGTACATATGCATAGGTATTGGTATACATAAGTATAAAGTATGTTTGACAGAGCAAACAAATGACATAGATAAGAAGCGTGAAGAGATTCTATGATTCACATTGTTCATAATTATTGGAATTTTTGGCGGATGATTTACCGGCCAATAAATTCGATTAATACCCAAATTGCTGAACGTAATATGCAAATATGTTAATGTAGATGTAAAACGGTTCGCGATTTACGTCATTCGTCATTAATATGGTACTTTCGATAGATAGCAAGCTGAATAATTAAGTTGTTCTAATACATAATCCTGTAATTATCTTCAACAATGTATAATAGTTTTGCTACCAGCATGCTGTTACAAGCGTGTGCATTTTCCTTGAATTTTGAATAAAGCCTTGCATGGCTCCTATTTTAATTACACGATTAATCGTAAATTCTAATGTTAGATATAGAAATTTAAATCTATCTGAATTCATTATGAAATTCGGTTCATTGGATTTTATCGTAATTTCAACTCTTGACGCGCATACGTATGTATGTAAAATAGTATGTATGTACTATGTATATCGTTCCGTCGCGTCGTTCCGCGAATAACCGGCGTAAACTTGCTGTAATAATTTATTTATCCATTATCCCGGCGATAATAGCTTGGTGCTAGGTTCTTAGAGTCGAACGTTATCGATTGGCTTTGCCCGTGAAAGTTATTCAAATCGAGGGTGATTCCTAGTCCCTGCGTGTAATTGGCCCGTTTGTGGTTCTGCATCGAGTACCCCACGAATCGGTAATAATTAAGCTGATATCGTTGTAACATGCCTAACGTTCTCGTTTACTGGATTCAGCAGTTTGATCGCATACAATCGCCTGTTCGACACGAGACGTGTCTTAATTGCATAATGCTGTTTGGCCGTGTCCCTAATTGCCTTCTGACATAGACTAATAATGGAGCTCTTAGATATTTTTCGATTCACCTAAGAAGTCAGAAGAACATTGGTGTTTTGTGGGGAGAGAATAATATTCCTTCGTGACGAAGTGATCAAGTCCAACGATTTGTCGCAATGCGGCTGAAACGGTGTTCGGGTACCTATGTGTCGGGTTCGTTCTGAAAGTCGTTCGGAACCGTGGCGATTGATTCACTGTTCTGTAAATGATGCTCTCATTATCAGCTCCCGACGGAGACCCAATTTTCTCTTGGAAAATTTTGGGAATAATGCCAAGATGATGGATAGAGGGACGTGTCTCTTCTGCCTGTCTATAGTCTATAAGAACGGATCGTAATCTCGTAGAGATATCTCTCTTATATCATCTCTCGTTTTATCATCCTTTTGTGATCAATTTTTCTTAATTTTGAAATAAAATTCGCAATTTTGGTAAATAATTCGGTGAAATAGAAGTGACAAAGCCTTTCATGAAGAAACTTCCGAGTCACTGTATTCCCTGCGTGTACAAAGAAAGAATACATACATATGTACATATAATGATAGGTAGTAAATCGCAATTTCTACGTGTCAATACTAGCGATTCTTGTCAATCTTCTGGTTCCACGAAAACATTCGATGATCTCTGTTTCATCGATTTTAAATTGTAATCGCGATTGTGATCAGATTAAACAAAGCCACCGCGATTTCTACGAAGGGCTATTGACGTAATGGTGATAGGTACCTGTATTGTTACACTAGCCAGATGCAGATGCATTTCCTAGTTGACATCAAACACGTTCCGGTGAAATGGGATTTCCTCGACTAGATAAGGTATTTCCGTAGCTTGACCGGCAATCTCGGTTGATGTATTGCCGTGCTACTGGTCGACCGATCGCAACTACGAGCTCGCCGATTTTTGGTACCACCGCCTCTCTAATAAATCTGTCTCTACCAGATAATGAATACATTATTCGTGCTATCGTTTGATTCTAATCTAAATTAAAGTCGTTACACCGTGAGCTCGCGGTTCACCGTCGCACAGCTTATTAATTGCTGACTTAAGTTCATTAGCAAACACAGGTTGAACCTGTGACAGTATCTCGTGATCTAGCAATTTGTCTTTCGAGTCGTGGCTCCTTTCTCTCGAACTCGAGATCGGGAATCTTGATACATACCTAATTTTTGAAATCCTCCGAACGACACAAGTTTCTCGAGGGATAGTAGGGTAGATCAGTTTGTCGGCCCTATCCGAAACTTTCTTCCAATCATTTCTTAATGGTACCGTTCAGAAATGCGTCTCGTCCTCCACAGTAAATTACATAGGTAGCCCCATTGAACGACAAGGGCGACCCTCGTTGGAACAGAATTTTCGAAACAACGTTCAAATTGCTGGTCTAGGTCCTTTCGAAATGTTCCACAATCCCTTTGTCGTTCTTCTCAGACGGTACGAGGTATGTCAATAATGTTTCGAGAATAATTGATTTAACACTTTCACCGTGGAGCTCATTTCAATCGACCTTCCATATTTACCTTTCCATATTGACCATCATATGGTATAGTCATACCATGTTGGACGGTTATCCAGCAGTTTTGTCGTAATTACTCGCGAAATAATCATAATTCTGAACATACAAAAGACAATATTCCATCTGCTTCTCAACATTTGCAACACAAAGTTCTGCTCTTTGTAAGAAATTCGAATGTGAAGCTTGAATGAGAGAGTAATTTTCTACACTTGGACATGTTTGTATTATGCGTTCTTTAAGATTTTCCATACTGTCTATAGATCTTTCATAAACAATCGACTTTAAATCGATTTTAAATCGACTCATCATAAGGTCGTACATACATATGTATAGTAGGTATACTACATAGATCATTGAATTCGTCTTGACATCACGTATAATGC